ACCTCGGAGCGGCCCCGCTGAGCCTCCCGAGGAGGCTGCCGGCGCCCGGATTTAATTTCACATGCGGACATTGTAGCGCCTGTGTTCTCTCGGTTCTCTGAAACTCGTGTGTGAAGCAGATGGGAGTTCCCCACTTTTGGCTCCAAGTACCTCACTTCTGGAGGAAGTGAGAGTAATCGGAGGTTTGCTTTTCTTCAGACTTTTCTTGTTTTCCCAGATTCCAGAATTAAAATGAGCTGCTCTAGCCATTCCCCAAAGTAGTATGAGGAAAGGTGCTTCCAGATGTTTCAGAGACTTTAAGGGGAAATGTATCTCCTCTTAGCTGGTTTGCCTAAAATGACGAAGCTTAGGCAGGCATAGAGCTGGTGCATGTATTTGTTTCTCCAAATTTATGAACCCAATAAGCTTTGTCAGCAGAAAGTGTCAAAGAGGTAGTGATCCCAAAGCTAATCATGTAAAAATTACAGCTACCTGCTGTGAAACTTCAGTTATTATATTTAATTTAAACAAAAAAACCCAACCCAAAACAACACACTAGCTGGTAGGGGACAGAATGTTAAAATGCTTAAGATCGCTCAAGAGAGACAAAAAAAACCTACACCAAATTAGTTGCCGTGCATGCAGAACCACCTGTTTTACCTTGCCCTGGTTTTTTTGTTCGTTTTTACTTGCTGGAGAGTCCTAAACACTCTGCCAGCATTTCACAAGTACACTATTTGAATATGTAGAGGCATTATTGTATGTGACTATACCTGCAAAATTGAAGGGAAAAGGGGAGTTGAGTTTCCTGAAGTCTAGAGACTAAATCAGATTTATAAAGAAAGTTTATAAACTGGATCTTCTGTTTTGACTGAAACCAGGTGATGAGCTGGGAAAAGGGGAAGGGGAAAAAAATATTTACAGAGAAAGACATAGACTGTTTGAATTATCAAAAGAGAGTAAAAACAACTTATATAGCTTACTAAAAAGAAAAGCGTTACAGCAAGCTATGCGTTCACTTGCCTGTTATCAAAAGATTTGATGCTTTAAATGAGAGACTGAAAAAAGAAACCTTATGTTTTTATCAGTTCATGGAATCACTTTTTTAATGCTGGAGGGCTTTCATTTCAATGGTGATATACTCTGCAAACATTGAAATCTTAAATCATGGAATGTTTGGGTAGCTTGTCACATAATGATGGATTTGTCTGAAAAATAAACCAATCTAGTGTTATTTGTTCATGTATTTCCCTCTCTTTTTTTTTTTTTGGTAGGCCTTTTCTGTTGTTTCAAAGCTGCTGTCTCAGTGTAAACTTGACCTGCTGGATCAACTTGTATCAGCAGAGGTAAATGCTTTCCATCTCTTGTTCTAGCAATTGATTTTCCATTATGAAGCAACATGCATTCAGCCTGTCATTATCTATGAATACTGCCAGTTTGGTTTAATTTGGGAAAAACAGCATAATGTGGAACAGGGCAATTGTTTGTCCTGCAGCTTTTTTATGTTTAATTTCAAGGCATGAAACTTAATTTAAAGTTATTGTATTTAAAAAAAATATATATATATATATTCTTGCCATTGAGCATAAGGACCAATTGCCAAAAAGATTGCTGGTGTACCAGAAAGGATTGAAAGGCGGTGGGTTCTGGATGGCAGGCAGAATTGCATACCTCTGTTGGTGTAGGCAGATAGCTGACGCTTTCGGTCTGTGCACCAGAATTCTGATGAAGAAAGGAACTGGTTTGTGCTCATCGCTGCTGCACTGATACATTCCTACCCAAGTAGATCATACAGCTAATTACTGGTTTCAGCTGGAAGGCCTCAGTCTTGTGTCATGGTCTCAGGGATATGGCTGACCTGGCTAGTTAAACATCGGTGCTGTGTGTTCTGTGTTTTTATGAATTTTTAATTGCTGAAGTTGTCTTGGCCTTCCTAGGGTACGGAGGTAGCAGATGCATCAGAGTCAAGTGGAGGAGATACTTCAGGTCTATGTCTGCCTTCTTACTGGCTGTCAGCTTGGCCTGCCCTATTGCCACCCATGCCTTTGCAGCAAAAATTTTGGTGCTGTTCTAGTGCATCCCCACTGGACAATCTTGCCTCCTCTCTCTGAGCAGAGATAGCAATAAAACGTGAGTTTGTTTCTTATAGTTGTTTTGAAAGAGCATCTCCTCTTCCTCCGCTCATCTTAAATTCTTCAGGTGATTGGGTTAACATTGATCCAGAGACCTCATGTAACCAAAGCACGTAGTGGATGAGGCTGTGATACCACACTACTTTGTTGTTGCTTTGGCTGGTGAATTTTATGCTGGCAAAATGTACTAGAAACCAACGTCTTCTAGTGAAGATCACCTCTTGCTTCTATGTGACTTCTGGATTTGTTCGTTATTTGAAAATGGCAATTCAGGTTAGGCTAAAAACTGAGTATGAGTTAAAAATAAGTGCTGCACAGCTTCATCCTTCCTGGTGACCCGTCTTTTTCATGTGGTGTTTGAGGTGATGCCTCTGTTCAGTTTGTGCACCGCACCCTTTCTCTACTTAACACAGCTGTGTAGGTCTTAGGACACTCAAATACTGTGGATATGAATGCGGTATGGAACTTAAGTCCCAGAGCAATGATTTTTCAGTCTCTTCTGATTTGCAAGTGTTTAAACTTTTTCTGATGGGAATGTGGATCACAAAATGACAAAGATAAACTTAGTGGTAATGGAACTGATTTTCAAAGAAATTTGTGAAGGATAACTAAGAAATAATTTAATCAAAAGCTAAGGAATATACACATAGCGAGAAGTCAGCAGTGAGAAGGCAGTGTGTAAGTATGATTGTGGAAGCAAGCTTAACCGGTATTTTCTGGGCTTACATGCCTTGCTTTACAACTTGTGTTTTGACAGTACCTTTTCTAAACATTTTTTAAAATACTTCATTTTCATTGGTCTGAGCATTAAATGGATCTTCTTTAATATCACTGAATTAGCGTTTGGGAGTGCCCAAGCTTCCCAGTGCTTTTTAACTTCCGCTGTTGTATATGTTATACAAATGTTTTAGTGATATAGCTTATTTTATTAACTGCAATAATAAAAGATTATTGAATAGAAATAGAAAAGATTGTTACTTCAATTTCCTGATGAAAAAATGACAGTTTTTCTGAATTTAGGTACTTCAGGTGCTGAAGGAAAAGATTGCTTTGCTC